CGCCCGTGTCGGATGACGTTATTTGTCTGATTTTCCGAGGTATCGCTGTACCTCATTCGCAAGAGACGCGAGACGCGAGACTGTTCGATATAAATGGTTTCGTAATTCGCAGGAAAGTATATCAAAATGCGAGAATTTGCGAAATTGTTGTAGCATTCAGTAGTTTATAAGATTCTTTAATATTTTGACACAATCGCGCACACGCGAGTAATATTTTTCAAAGAATTAAAATGTGATAATGCATCGCATTCACCTTCTCGTCACCCAATCGTCGTTAATGAAGTCGGCGATGTTTAAATTAAAAGGACTCTCTATTCAAGTTTTCGAGTTGACTTTTCAGACGCCGGTTTTCCCGATCGTGTGCCGTGACTTTTTCGAGTTTTGCGGCACTTTGTAACAGGACTCGCGTGCTTCTCTTACGCCACGTGTGCGTCGCGCGCGTCTGAGCCCGCCTTTGAAGTGCGCGTACTATATAGCCTCTACGCATGTGTGTCCCTTGGCTTTTCCAACAAACTACATGTAATCGTGTTAACCATATGTCCATAAACCGTGGGTCTAACCATAGCCTCGTTAGTTCTCTCTCTGCAGTCTTCCCTCGGCTTTACGACCGATTTGGATTAGCGTATTAATCTGTTTGCCCATTCGGCAGATTGGTTACCGCTCGCCATCTCTCGTCCACGCTTAAACTAATTTCACGAATATTTGGCGGATTCAGAATATATAAGTATTGTTTGATAATCAAAATTGTTTCGAGATGTGCCATTGTAAGGCTTTTATATACGTTTAAAGAATAATTAATAATATCACGAGTTTTTATCATAAAATGATGTACTGGCAATACGTTAAAACTTTTTTTTTTTTACCGGAAGATGTTTCTTTAGTTTTTCCTACTAAATAGCAGAAACCAGTCTGCAGTGAGTTCGAGAAAGAGGCGGTTTTGCTTTTGAAATTTTAACCGTGGTATCCCCCACGTCCAAAGTCAAGTCGTTAGGATCATAAGATTTGTTAACAGACCTCGAAGGGGCGAGAAACGGCGAACCTTTCGGGCTCCTTTGTCCTTTGTTTTTTTTTTTTACTAAGCCTTGCCGACATCACGGTGTGAAATTTCAAAGTGCCATTCCTTCATCTCTCCACTTAGTACTATGCTTTCCGTCACTCGCTAGTTTGTGTCATTCGGCAGGAACTGATTGACTCGAGAGATTTATTATAGAATTTTTAAATACAATAAAATAGAAAAAAATTGTTTCACTTACCTATCGTCTTCCACATCTAAGACTGTTATTTTTCAGCATTAACTAAATTTCGTAGTTTCTAAAATTCTATTCATATTAGTAAAATACGCGCAACGTATTCAATTATTATTTCTCCCGTGGTTGTGCTACATCTCTGCCATTCGTAATCCATTTATAGATGAACGCGATTCGCGCGCTACGGACGAGATGTTTGCGAGCGAAGTGTCGTTCCGCCGGCTTCATAAAACGCTCCCGCCGCTCCATTCGTTTCAATTGTATCGCGATGGGGCGCACCGCCGTGAAATTAATCGCACAGCGGTGTCTTTGTCTGGTGACGGTGCGCGACCTTTATTATCGCAACACGTTCGAAAGAACAGACGGATCTAATGACCCCGAGCCTTGAGAACGGTCGCTCGCGGACGTGACACTCGCACGCGCCTAATTATTCACTCGCAAGCTGCCGGAGAGACGTGTGTGTATCTCCCGAAGGAAATCCTTCCCTTTAATTTATTGGTGCGCGTACCACGGCATACATAAATCGCGAGCGTGAATTACGACAAAAGTGCCTAATAATAAAACGATACATTGACATCGATTGTCCCGGGATTCAATTGAATGCCATTCTATATTCGTATCTCTCTAATTGTAATTTATCTGTGATGAGAGAATATCTGCGATAAAAGATTATTAATAATTGCAAGGATAATTGTTATTTTCTTCGGAAGGATTACAGAAAGAACATGAGGTAAAATGACATTTATGCGAAGCCTATTAAATATTTTAAGAAAGTATTTTATTGAAGATTGTTTGCTCTCTTTTTAAATATCAATTCTTTAAATATTAAAACATCGATGTTATATAAATAATTGTATTTGTTTAAAAATACAGTAGATGTAATACTGCAAAAAGAAAAACAATGATATAGAGAACAAAGATTAATTTTCTTCGAGCTTTTTCTTTAGTTTATTTACAATAACGACAAAAAGTCAATAGTGATTTAATTAACAATGAGCTATATCTGTAAAATTATAACTATAGTGATTCTGACAGCGTAGATTCAGCGTGTTGCAGTAGATGTAGGTACGATTGTTGTCAGCTTCCGTGAAACAAATAATGGAATAGGAGATAAAGCAGTTACGTAAGTGCGGAAGAGTTGAAATGGAGTAGAATACCCACCGATCGCTATATGCCGAGCGAGGAAGAACGCTTCCTGCATTAGGAAGCGCACGGCCATGGTCGTAAAGGCGCGATGATCTGTGGGTAGAGGGTGAGCAGTGGCTGGTACCGAGGGGGTTGCAAATTGAATAACAAACGTTCACCCTCCTCGGTTAAATCACCGAAAAAGCCATCCCCCGGGCTTGCACGCTTGCCGCTAGACGTTAACCGCACCCCCCGCGAATTGCTGCGGCGCGACCCCGGCGCGACCCCCTCCGACTGCTTTGCATAACGATCTTATTTCGTAATCTCTGCCATATTGATCCGGTTTACGGCGCCGCGCTTGAAAATTGTTTATTGCGGTGTCTCCGTCAGGGACACGTCGAGTCTGCATCTCGCGGGCATCGCGCCTCGTATTCGATGGGAATTCCGTCTTTATAGATTACGCGCAAGTTTCGTCTGTAATCGTTTTTGTATATTACCTTCGCGGCGTCTTTATATGGATACTTTATTCTAGCCACGTTTGAGAGTGAAAGATCATTTTTCTATATAATTGCTTCATTAATTTGTGAACGACAACGTATCTATGTTTAAAAACATGCAATTGTCTCGTGACACGAATTATCGCTTCTGCTGTCATTGTTTGAAGAATATTGCGCATGTTGTAATCAATTATGACCGGCCAGAATGCTCGGGAGAATCAACTTTATAGGAGCTTAATGATCGCGTGACGCGGCTACTCCACTGTTTAGGCCCGAGAGAAGCGAGCCGAGTCATTCTCGCTAATAAGATTGAGGAGCTGAAGTACGTATCGGACGCATTTCCGTTGCGCTCGCGAGGCGCGATGCCAGAACGATGCCCGACGCCGCGTAATCGGCGAACACGAAGCGGCAAGGCCGGAATAAAAATCCCGGAGCGGGAAAATAAAGTGGCACGACAAAGTGGGGGAGGCCTTATGTTATGACGGGACATTTCACGGTTGGTAGGATCTGGGATTTAACGGCCCGTGCGATAATATCGTCCCCAGGAGCTCGTGTCCCGCTCGTGCTCCGGCCGTGTTCTCCGCTCAGTCTCTGTCGTTCTCTGTCGGCCTGTTGGTATCTTGGAGGGGTACACTCCCTAACGTCAGGCTACGCGACTCTTCATCGCGAATATTTAGAGATCTATATGTGTCAGAATTAAAAATCATTATTGGCGAACACGCGACGTTGTACTCGCAAAGCAATTGTGAATGAACTTACTTTCAATTCGTGCGTAGGAATCACGCTTTAGCAGGCGAGGAAGAGAAATTAATCCAGGTTGACTCGCGCACGGGTTGCACCCTTAATAATCAGCGGCAGCAAGAGCGAAGGTCGAGCTAGGAGGTAGGGACAACTAAGTGTGGACTGTCTTTTCGTAGATTACGGTAAGGAAGTCGGCAATTGGGCGGCGGGAACGAGCTTCGTGAATGGAGTGAAAGTCGAATAGAATCTTCATTATTCACAAAAGCATTATTTATTTCCTTTTTCTCACTTTAAAATGAATTTATAATTTTTATAATAATACAGTAATAAAGAAGAGTTAATAGTAATAATTAATAATTAATAATTAATAATAATTAATAATAATTCATTGATAATAGTGCGATACTACATCCAAAGGGTGGGCTGATATGGGTTATTCTTCAAGTCCAAGTTCCAAACGTAATCAACAAACTGCCTGGAAAAAATTTTAAATTCACTAAGGAAAATTACTTTCTCGTCAGACAATGTTCAAGGCCCTGTGTGGTATGAAATCGTTTGGAACCTGTCCGTGTCCATACTCCACGGTCGTTTCTCTTTAATTCGTTCCGTCTCTTGCCTTCCGAAAATGAACGGAAGAGAAGAGTCGCGGCAGGACGCGAAGTGTTTTGTCGGTGTATGGTACAACGCGACAGTGCTTTATGTATATATATATATATATTTATATATTTATATATATATATTTATATATTTATATATTTATACGGGTTACTTTTTTTTTACACATCATTACACCGCTTAATTAATATAATATCATTTCTCTTTCTTTTCCTCTCTTTTGCGCCCTATATATATAAATATATATATTATGTACAAATAAAAAATTCTGAAATATCCGCGTGCGTGCGTTACGAGGACCATCTCCGTATCTCAGAACCAGGACGGGGAGCCAGATTAGGGTGGTATCTCTCGTGTATGCTCTTGTGTATTAATGTGTATGTATCATTCGTGCCTGCGTGTATGAGCGCGGCGGACGGACGTGCGGTGGATTGTGACCGGTTTTTGGACGCGAGTGCGCTCGTAACCGCTTAGAGACTATGTACAGGCGCGGGGGACGAGGGTGAGGGAGTCTGCGCGGTCCCCGGCGTGCCAGGATTCTGTTGCACAGAGTAGGAGTTATTTTGTCGCGAGTGCTGCTGTTGGTGCGATGGGTGATGATGATGGTGGTGGTGATGGTGATGATTCTGGTGTTGCTGATGGTGATGATGGGGAGTCGATGGATTGATGGTCGAGTGATTTTGCATGAGGTTCAGATTGAGGGGGTAGGATAGGGGGGAGCCCAGGGCCGTTGCGGCAGCGGTACTGCAGGCACCGGCTCCGGGCCCCACCGGGCTCAGTGCATGCTCATCCCCGCGTGCGGGTGGTGGGCCGCCGGGACGGAGGTTGCGTGATGATGAGGATGGTGCATTAGAGGCGGGAGATGCGGGTGGTGGGGATGGTGTGGGGTCAGAGGCGGCGGGGTCATCTGTATTGGAGTCATGGGTGTTGTCGGCTGATGGCCGAGAGTGGTGGTGGTCTGGGGGGAGGTGGTGTTGCTGGTGTCCTGGCCCGCCGCCACCGCTGCCGCCGCCGCCGCTGCCGCCGCTACTGCCAGCTGCTGCTGTTGCTGCTGCTGGGCCTGAGGCGGCTGCTGCGGCGGCTGCGGCTGCGGCACCGAGCTGGAAGTGGGACTCTGCTGACTCCCGTTGTCCTCGCTGTCGGAGCAGGACTCGGCCGACGAGCTCCCCGCTCCCCCCTTGCCCTTGCTGCCGCTGCTGCTGCTGCTGCTGCTGTGGGTCTTGACGTGCTTCGCGAGATGGTCGCTGCGCATGAACCGCTTGTTGCAGACCGGACAGGCGAATCTCTTTTCGCCGGTGTGGGTTCGAAGGTGCCGCTGCAACTCATCCGAACGTGTGAACCGCTTGCCACAGAAAAGCCAGTTGCAAACAAACGGTCGCTCACCAGTGTGCCACCGTAAGTGGGCCTTCAGATGCGACGTTTTCCCGTAGACCTTGCCGCAACCCGGTATGTGGCAGCTATGGATGTTCTTCTTCCTGAGGTGCACGCCGGCGGGACCGAGTCTCTCGGCTTCTTGACAATTCGGACAATCGCAGGTGGCACGCCCGGTGTAGCGTCTCTGCGAGCGCGGCGAGGGCGCTTGGCTAACGCCGGCGCCTCCGACGCCGACACCGCCGCCGCTGCCCTGAGGGCTTCCGGCACCGGCGCCGGCGCCGGCCGTGGCGGCCGCGTGGTGATGGAGTCCGAATCCGGGCGGTCCGCCCGGTAGCATCGACTTGTACGTGTCTTGTAAGAGATTGTGACCGGCCGTCGTAGCCGTGGTCAGCAGGTGATTGCCGGCCAGCGCTAGGCTTGTCGAGTAGTCGGCCGAGTAATTGGCCATTTGCGCGTGGACGCCGACGCCGACGGTGCTGCTCACGTCCAACCATCCGCCGGCGGTCGCGGCGCCGTGCACGTCCCACCAACCGTCGCTCGTTTTTATTCCTCCGTGCGTCGCGCCTGGCATCGCATTGAACGGCCACGACTCGTATGGATGCCTGCCGTATACCGAGCCCAGAGTCGCGCCCTCGACCTTGCCGAGAAGACTACTTTGATGATGATGCGGGTCGCCGGCCGGTTGGGCGCTCGCCGTTCCCGGAAAATACAGTTCGCTACCATATTGCGGTGCGGTCGAAGCGCAAGACGTTACCGGCGCCCTGGCGTAACCACCGGTCGTGCTGCCGGCGCTGCTTGTCGCCGCCGGTCTCTGGCTCACTCCCGTCGTTGTGCACCCGCCGCTACCGCCGCCTCCTCCGCCGCCGCCTCCCCCGCCGCCGGTGGTGTGCTGTGGCGAACTGCCGCTGCTCTGTGGACTCTTCTTCCAAGGATGGAAACCTTTGCCCACGGCTGCGTCCGCCAACGGTGGCGGGCTCTTGCTACTTAGCTTGTTGCATTGTGCCGCCAGCATAGCCAAAGGCGTACCTCGTAGTGATGGGTGATCCTGTAACATCAATATAAAATCTACGGTCATTCTTTGCAGTATAACGTCATAATTTCGTTGCGTAACAAAAGAATTTATCAATATCTCTTGGCGTTTTCGTTTTAGGGCATACATTGCGCATACAACACGATAAGCATAATTTGATCTAAGATTATCTTTGCCCTCTCTGTTTATATATAAAGGATTATAAACAAATTTCTTGTTGAGAACTCTTGACAAATGTTTACGGACATGCATGATCTCGATTTACAATGTGCTAATAACGCTCGCGCGCGCACGCGCATTACCAAGTTCTTTTCGGAATTTTTAACATCGGAAGCGCTCGTTATGAAGCAATCTCGTCGGCACGATTACGCAAATCGGTAATAACAACTTTGGAACGAATTACGTATCGCGCGTATCGATTCACGGGACTATCGAGGTACTTTTTCGTGCTAGCGCGGTTCGTAATATCAAAATCTGGCGGTCGGTGGACGCCCATAATCGCCCCGCCGCGTCTAAATCGATCTAAAAAGAAGCCCCGGTCCGGACCCAGGTCCAAGAAGAGAGAGTGAGAGAGAGAGAGAGAGATAGAGAAAGAGGAAAGTCTTCCCCTAAGGGCGTATAATGACACTAAATTGCCGTTCCTATCCTAGAAGAGATCCAAGATTAGTCGCTGAAAGTAATGAGACCCGGATAGACCGACCGCTCCACCTAGGCCGCTTTCATGCAAATTGTTCTCGAATCAGGCACAAGGTCGACGTACGATTTCCATGATGCCGGTATTATAAGCGACCCGAAATAACGTGGGAAAATGCTGCGATCTTGGAAACAAATGAAGAAGATCAGGATCAATTCCCTTGAAGTATAATATATCATGTAAATAATGCGACCGGCAACGAGATAAGAATTATAATTTGTAATAGAAGCGTGATGAACTCTTGATGCAAATTGAGTAAATTCAATAACGACACAATTTGTGCGGATCCCATGGCAGATTTCAATGAGCCTTCCAATTCCGAGAAATTTGCGGAACTCGTGCTCCTTCGCGCGCACGCGGCGCGAGGAATTAGAGGGAACGCAATTTGTGCGCGAGGAAAAAATTAGAGCGAGCGGCTAGAAAGCCGCCTGAAACTTTAGATAACGAACTTCATCAAAAGCAGCTCCATGCAAATCGCTCGCTGGGGTTTGCGCGGGGGTGAAAGGACAAGGAGAGAGTGTCGGCGGCTACCGAAGGGCCGGAGGCTGAAGAGGAGAGGTCCCGAAGCGGATTTGGACGCGGAGAGGTAAAAGCGAGAGGGTCCGCGGAAGCGGCAGGAAATTAAGGTCTGGAGGGCCGCGCGGCCATTAGCAGCCGGCGCCATGGAGGCGACACGCCCCCACGTGGATTCAACCTTGCGCCAGCAACACCGGCGAAAGACAACGAACGCGCGCACCCTTCCAGGATGGAAGCGACGTGAGAGCGAGAGAGAGAGAGAGCGAGAAGAGAGCGAGAGAGGTAAAAGAGCGAGGGGAAGAGAAAGGAAAAACGGAGGAGTCGCGACCGTACCACGCTCGATCTATCCTTCGAAGAGAAGTCCGTAGTCCTGCTCGGTTGCCCCAATCATTCATCAACGAGTACAACAAATGTTCTGCTCATATTTCTTCGCGGTAACATGACACATTGTTGTATATGGTCGTTATTTAGGATGCGCTCGCGTACGAAGCGCCGCGCCGTTTCAAGGCTTTTCGGGTGATTTACTGCAGTTAATTTTAACGCAAAAGTATGATTTAAATAACTAAGTGTTAAAGCGTAGATACAAACGTAAAAACGATTTATATCTCGAGGAACTCTCGAGTCGGGCGCGCGGAAGATCTGCAATTTACGCTTGAACGACGAAACGTCGCAAAGTATCGAGAGTTATTATTCCGAGAAATCTCCGGACGCGCGCAGTTGTGATTGCTCCCCGTTACGATGCCTCTCGACGAATGGGAGCGCTCGTTGACGCGGAGGTCGTAGAGGGTGACGACTGGCACGGGAGAACCGCGGAGGGTTGAAAGGACGAAATCGTCTCTCCCGCTTTTACGTCGAGAGGGAGGCGGAAGGTTTAGCGCGGCAGAGATCGCAACGGGGTTGAGTGTCTCTCCGCCGGTGTACGAGCCACGCCCTCTTCAAGCTCGATGAGTGCAGGTTGTAGGCAGGCCACGTATCGATCCGCCGGGACAATATGACAGTGGCCTGCGGAGACAACGACGTCCCTCGATCAGCTCCCTCCACACAGTCTCTCCAGCGCTGAACCCTACGCGCGTGGATACACGCCCTCCATGGCGCGTCGCGAGCGTACGCGTTAACCATCTCGATCACGATTCGCGGCTGTTATCATCTCTTTTTGTCCGCCGCTTCTCGAAGCTTTTCTCCGATAGCGAAATATCATTGAGCTGTCAGAGCTCTCGAGCTCTCGAATTAATCGCGAGAGATTGTTTGAGCGAATGATTTCTCGCCAGCGGAAGTGGCGACGATTGCATAGGTGAAAAAGTGCGTAGTTGACGGAGCGTATAGAGAGTGCCGAACTACTCGGCACCGGCCTGGTGAGGCCTGGGTCCCTCTGCAGGCACCCTCCTGTCGGCACGGTTAAAAGGGAGCCGACGTGAAATGGGCACCGGTAGGATCCTTTGTTTTAGCCGCGTGACGTCACGCCCCTCGGAGCCAGCTAGGACTAATAATGCCTGGAGCTACGCCGCGCATAAATTAAAACGAAGAATCCTCCGCTTGTCTCGCCTCGTCCCGTCCGCGCCGGTTCGGATCTTTTTCCAAGAACTCATTCGCGCCGAGGCGTCGCGCGATTGCTTTCCGACCTCACTCTCTCTCTCTCGGCCGAGCCTTCGAACGTGCCAGGAAGTATCGACCGCCGCACGAGATCGTTAACGAGATCGGTCATTCGACACCCGATGCGACGCGGCGCCGCGCCGGACGGCGGAAAATAAAGCGGAAACGCCGCGCCGCGCGCCGGAGCGATCGTTCGAGCACGAGCCACGTGACAGCTGAATGCGAGGGAGGTAAAAGACCCGACAGCGAGGGTGCGAAGCAACAAACCGTGGGGTGTCTGCCGGTCGAGCTTCGTGGCGAACCGCATCCGACGTCCGTGTCAAACTTTCATTCCCCTTTCAGCCCGAGGAGAACCCGAGAACCCTCGTTCGCACCATCAGGCGAGACATGCGTCGATCGGTACTTTAACGTACGCTAACGAAGACATCGAGAATCCCTACGGCAAATCCGAATAACCATCTCCTCTCCCTCTGTAAACAATTGTTTCTTTTCTATGAAGACAAGAAAATATTTCACTTGCTTACAAATTTTAATTTCGGTTAAAACGCTAGTCTTTCGGGAAATGACTTGGAAATTTATTTCCGCTATCAAGCCGTTGTCGTCGAATTTAACCGGACAGAGACAATTAAATGAACGACGTAGCCGCAGAAAAAGGATTGCTTCGTGCTCCATAATGGAGCGCCGCGCGAAATTAGTCGGCGCTCTTTTCTACTTTCGGCATAAAAAGTGTCGGTCGCTCTCGAGAGCCATTGACCGCGATCTCCAAGCACCTGCCGAGCCGGCATGGTCGAGTTTCTCGTTGGATCCACCTGCATTGAGAAGCCCCCCCACCAGCGGAATTGACTAACTACTTCACCAAGTCGAACTTTGCGTGCTTTAATTTGTAATTTTGTTTATTTAACTAAATTATTACTCGTTATCTCTATCTACAGGATATACAGGCGTTAATTTCTTTCGATTCTTTGCCATCTTTATAGATCGTCCAAAACGCTTTTACGACATAATGCTATCTCATTTTATTATAAATATTAATATTTGCTAATGTTATAGAAAAATTATTTCTTTTAAGTTGGCATCTGATAAAAGTATATGGCACATTTAAGAGTGATCTCGTTTATATTTTAAAATATTATAATATCAGAGAAGAGCCTGAATTAATTCTAAAACGTAATCCATTGCGTACTTTATCATATAACATCATAACGTACGATGGTTCATTTCGTGCTGCGAAAGAAAAGGGCAAAAATTATTCGCAAGGCACGTAATACCGCAGATAAGTAATGTAACTATTATTACCATGCAAATTGTAACATGTTACAGATACGGTGTATACCATCGGATTATAATTTAAAATGGTATTATTACTTCTGCCTCGAACGATCTCGTTGGCATTCTCCTTACAATCTCGATACGCTTACGCGGACACGCAAAACATTCCGCGGGCAGGGGCGGGAGGAGGGGAGAAAGAAACGTACCTAGATCGAGCGGTCGAATTGTTCAACGCGCGATTTCCATACCGCGCTAATTACCCGTCCAGGTACAAGGCGGGCGAAATGTAGCGGGCGGATTGCCGCACGGAATGCCGTTGCACGCGTTAAACACGCGGCCCGGCCAGGTCTTCGCGTCGGTCGGGTCGTGCGCGCTGGGTATGTACGTCAACGAAGGGTTACGCGAGTTACAGGCCTTCCCTTGGCGAGGAGAGCCGCGATGCCAGCGATAATACGAATGCGGGTTACTTCGAATGCTAATTATTTGTTTATCAGCCTCCGCATGCAACCGCGCCGGTGCACGCAGCCAGTGTCCCGATAAGAAGCGGTGCCCCTTGAAGCTGTTGCGCGCGCTAGGGTTATATACTCGGCCCGACTTCGGCCTCGCAGATAATTGCGGCGATTATAAAAACGTTCGCTTTGCCTCGCTCGTCTTTCTCGTTATCGGACTAGCCGTCGACGTCGATATACTCGTTTCCTACGTCGTTTCCTACGTCATTTCGTCGGGCTTCCTTCCTCCCTCTTTCTCTCTCTCTCTCTCTCTCTCTTTTTCTGGATACTTTAGCCTTCATTCTTCGCGGTTATCTTGAAGTGTAAATTAGGACTTAATACGCATGATCTCGTGTTAAAAGTACAATACGTGCTACCGTATATATGTATACATATTTCTACGGTGAGCGCGATGACATAAAAGTAGTAAGAACACAAGGTTTAGCTAATAACAGAAG